AAATGATAACCCAGAATTAAGAGAAAGTGAACGTCAAGAAGAACAGGATAAAATTGATAATGGTATGCGCATATTTTCTATATTAATTAACTGAATCAGAGACTTTATAACTAATGTATTCTACACACATGTATAGCTGAACCTTTGACTGGAGAAGAAGAAGCCGAAAAAAATTCACTAATGAAAAAAGTAAGAATACAATATTTAAATTATATATATAAATTTTGTTACTCTTTTTAATATCATATAAAATTATTGTAATAAGGCATTTGAAGATTGGAGCAAACGTGATTTCAATAACTTTATAACTGCTTCAGCTAAATATGGAAGGTAGGAATTCGTTTTAAAGTATATTTTATGAATTATGAATTAATAATGACGATTGGTTGATGTTGATTAATGATTTTAAATATGATAGAACTGCTATTGAAGAAATAGCCGAAGAGATAGAAAAATCATTAGATGATGTTAAGAAATACGCCAAAGTGTTTTGGGAACGATATAAAGAATTACCTAGTCTGTTTAACTTCCTTTTATTACTATTTATTCTACGTACATACATATTTATTAGCATTTATTAATATACATTTTTTCACGACCCTTTCTAAAAATAAAATAAACAGACTATGAAGAATTGATTGCAAAGATTGAAAGAGGTGAACAAAAAATACAACAAACTCAAGAGATACAAGGACTGATCAAATCAAAAGTAGCGCAATATAAATACCCTGGTTACGATATACAATCATCAAGTCAAAACAAAGGCAAGTCATTATTCACTGATGAAGAAGATCAATATTTGTTAATAACACTAGCAAAACATGAATATGGAACTGAAGATGTTTATGAGAAGATACGAAATGAAATTGAGAATGATGAATCTTTTCGATTTAATTGGTTTATTAAATCAAGAACTGCTAGTGAATTAAATAGACGCTGTACCGCACTTATAAACATGATACAGAAAGAACAAATTGATGGTGATGGCAGTAGTGGTAATGAAGGGAGAAATAAAAATGATTTAAAAGTAAGCATCATAATCATAATTTACTTGATTTCTTTTGTACTATATATGAATTTAAAATTACCAACTAAAAAAAATTGACATTATTTGTATTTTTTGTTCACCTCTTTCAATCTTTGCAATCAATTCTTCATAGTCTGTTTATTTTATTTTTAGAA